ACAGATCTTCTAAGCACAACATCTCCAAAAACACAAGAGCTTTAAATGATACAGTGGACCTGATGGATTTCACAGATATTTACAGAACTTTACATCCAAAAGCAAATGAATACACATTCTTCTCAAATGCACATGGAATTTTCTCCAGAATGGACCATGTACTGGGTCACAAATCAGGTCTCAACTGATACCAAAAGGTTGGGATTGTCCCCTGCATATTTTCAGACCATAATGCTTTTAAATTAGAACTCAATCACAAGAAGAAATTTGGAAGAAACTCAAACACGTGGAGTTTAAAGAGCATCCTGCTAAAAGATGAAAGGCTCAACCAGGAAATTAGAGAAGAATTAAAAAGATTCATGGAAACTAATGAGAATGAAGATACAACCGTTCAAAATCTTTGGGATACAGCAAAAGCAGTCCTAAGAGGGAAATCCATCGCAGTACAAGCATCCCCCCAAAATTGGAAAAAACTCAAATACACAAGCTAATCTTGCACCTAAAGGAACTGGAGAAAGAACAGCAAAGAAAACTTACACCAGGCAGAAGAAGAGAGTTAATAAAAATTCTAGCAGACCTCAATGAAATAGAGACTAGAAGAACTGTAGAACAGATCAACAAAACCAGGAGTTGATTCTTTGAAAGAATTAAAAAGATAGATAAACCATTAACCAGCCTTATTAAAAACAAAAGAGAAAAGACTCAAATTAATAAAATCATGAATGAAAAAAGGAGAGATCACCACCAATACCAAGGAAATACAAACGATCTTAAAAACATATTATGAACAGCTATGCGCCAATAAATTAGGGAAACTAGAAGAAATGGACGCATTTCTGGAAAACCACAAAATACCAAAACTGGAACAGGAAGAAATAGAAAACCTGAACAGGCCAAATACTGGGGAGGAAATTGAAGCAGTCATCAAAAACCTCCCAAGACACAAAAGTCCAGGGCCAGATGGCTTCCCAGGGGAATTCTATCAAACATTTAAAGAAAAAACCATACCTATTCTAAAAAAGCTGTTCCAAAAGATAGAAAGGTACAGAATACTTCCAAACTCATTTCATGAGGCCAGCATCACCTTAATTCCAAAACCAGACAAAGACCCCACCAAAATGAATTGTAGACCCATATCCCTTATGAACACAGATGCAAAATTCTCAATAAGATACTAGCCAGTAGGATCCAACAATACATTAAGAAAATTATTCACCATGACCAAGTGGGATTTATCCCCGGGATGCAAGGCTGGTTCAAAAACACTCATAATCAATGTGATAGATCATATCAACAAGAGAAAAAACAAGAACTGTATGATCCTCTCAATGGATGTAGAGAAAGCATTTGACAAAAATACAGCATCCATTCCTGATCAAACTCTTCAGAGTGTAGGGATAGAGAAACATTTCTCATCATCTTAAAAGCCATTTACAAAAACCCCATAGCAAATATCACATCAAAGGGGAAACACTGGGACTCTTTCCCCTAAGATCAGAAACAAGACAGGGAGGGTTCCACTCTCAGCACTGCTATTCAACATAGTACTAGAAGTCCTAGTCTCAGCAATCAGACAACAAAAAGAAATAAAAGGCATTCAAATGGGCAAAAAAGAAGTCAAACTCTCCCTCACTGCAGATGACATGATACTGTAGAGAGAAAAAGCCAAAAGACTCCACCCCAAGATTGCTCAAACTCATACAGCAATTCGTCAGTTGGCAGGATACAAATCAATGCCCAGAAATCAGTGGCATTTCTATACACTAACAATGGGACTGAAGAAAGAGAAATTAAGGAGTCAATCCCATTTAGAAGTACACCCAAAAGTATAAGATACCTAGGAATAAACCTAATCAAAGAGGTAAAGAATCTATCCCCTAAAAACTACAGAACACTTCTGAACGAAATTGAGGAAGACACAAAGAGATGGAAAAATATCCGATGCTCATGGATTGGGAGATAATATGGTGAAAATATCAATGCTACCCAGGGCAATTTACACATTTAGTGAAATCCCTATCAAAATACCATGGACTTTCTTCAGAGAGTTTGAACAAATCATCCTAAGATTTGTGTGGAATCGGAAAAGGCCCCGAATAGCCTGGGGAATATTGAAAAGAAAACCATAGCTGGGGGATCACAATTCCGAATTTCAGGTTGTACTACAAAGCTGTGATCATCAAGACAGTGTCGTACTGGCACAAAAACAGACACATAGATTAATGTAACACAATAGAGAACCCAGAAATGGGCCCTTAACTCATGGTCAACTAATATTCAACAAAGCAGGAAAGACTATTCACTGGAAAAATGACAATCTTCAATAAATGGTGCTGGGAAAATTGGGCAGCCACGTGTAGAAGAATGAAACTAGACCACTCTCTTGCACCATACACAAAGATAAACTCAAAATGGATGAAAGATCTAAATATGAGACAAGAGTCCATCAAAATCCTAGAGGAGAACACAGGCAACACCTTTTTTGAACTTGGCCAAAGCAACTTCTTGCAAGATACATCTATGAAGGCAAGGTAAACAAAAACAGAAATTAACTTTGGGGACTTCTTCAAGATTTAAAAACATTCACAGCAAAAGAAACAGTCAACAAAACTACAAGACAACCTACAGAATGGGAGAAGCTATTTGCAAATGACCTATCAGATAAAGGCCTGGTATTGAAAATCTATAAAAAACTTCTTAAACTCAACAGCAAAGAAAGAAACAATCCAGTCATGAAATGGGCAAAAGTCATGAACAGAAATTTCACCAAAGAAGACATACACATGGCCAACAAGCACATGAGAAAATGCTCCGCATCATTTGCCATCTGGGAAATACAAATTAAAACCACAATGAGATACCACCTCACACCAGTGGTAATGGTCAAAATGAACAAGACAGGAAACCACAAATGTTGGAGACGATGTGGAGAAAGGGGAACCCTCTTGCACTGTTGGTGGGAATATGAACTGGTGCAGCCACTCTGGAAAACTGTGTGGAGCTTCCTCAAAGAGTTACAAATAGAACTACCCTATGACCCAGCAATCGCACTGCTGGGGATTTACTCCAAAGATACAGATGCAGTGAAAAGCCAAGACACTTGCACCTCAATGTTTATAGCAGCAATGTCCACAATGGCCAAAATGTGGAAGGAGCCTCAGTGTCCACTGAAAGATGAATGGATAAAGAAGATGTGGTCTATATATAGAATGTAGAATGGAATATTACTCAGCCATTAGAAACAACAAATACCCACCTTTTGCTTCAATGTGGATGGAACTGGAGGGTATTATGCTGAGTGAAGTAAATCAATCAGGGAAGGACAAACATTATATGGTCTCATTTATTTGGGGAATATAAAAAGTAGTGAAAGGGAATAAAGGGAAAGGAGAGAAAATGAGTGGGTAATATCTTAGAGGGAGACGGAACTTTAGAGACTCCTAACTCTGGGATACGAACAAGAGGTAATGGAAGGGGAGGTGGGCTGGGAGATGGGGTGCCTGGGAGACGGGCACTGAGGGGGGCACTTGACAGATTGAGTACTGGGTGTTATACTACATGATGGCAAATTGAACTCCAATAAAAAAATATTAAAAAAAGAAAAATTAAAAAAAGAAAAAGAAATTTAGTATGGAAATAAGATGTTGTCAAATAGCATTAAAAAGTTTGGGAAAAGTAAAAAAAAAAAAAAAGAAAGAAAATAGGATGTCCAATAATGAGAACAACCACTGAAGTTATAAGGTAAATAGATGAATGAATAGCATATCAGAGCATTGGAAGGATCTGCAGAGCTAAATTCGGTTCACTGAGAACACTAATGAGTAGAGAAGTCACTAGGAAATTATATACACATACACCAAACTGACTCAGAAAGAAATAGACAATTTGAATCGTTCCATAACTTTTAAAGTAATTAAATAAATAGAGAACAACAGGCCTAAATTAATCTACAGGCAAATTTAGCATACATTCACAGACATTAGCCATCTACTTGCTAGGCATTAAAAATTTGTGTTATCAACAAACATAATGGTTTGAGGAAATATATTATTTTAAATTGGAATTCAACTAATTAAACTAATCTCTCTAAAAATATTTTTACCCAATCTAGGAGTTTATGAATTTTACTTTCTACTTTGCCTTTTTCTGTACCTAAAATGAACTGTACCATGTGTTCATGTCTTATTTCATTTTTATACTTTCACTATAGTGTCCAGTGAAGGAAGTCCTAAAACTTCTGCCTGAGATTTGAATCACATTTGTTTGTCAAACTCCCTATGCAATCTTATAGAAAGCAGGTAAAATTAAATAAATTCTGTGAGTCAAATTTACTTGTAATCAATACATTTAAAAGGAACTATCCTAAATTCTACAGATATAGTTCTATGTGGAGTTTATTTAAAAAAGGATTTTATAAATTAACACAGTTTGATATTTCCTTTGATAAGTTTGATATTTCCTTTTATATGTATCCTTGTATTCATTAGATATTGTCTTGAAGAATTTGTGAATGATTACTCATTAGCTAATATTAATCAGAAGTAAAATATTAGAAAATAAGACACTGAAAAATTGCATCCTACAATACCATAAGACAAATATAAATATATTTAAATAAAAAATTTTTATCTTTCTTTTCAGAAGACAAATACCTTGTTTGAAGATGATATTAAACTTGAAAATATTACAAATCAATTTTGTATACTTCTAAATAATATGTGCATCTCATTAGCATAAGGGTCTTTGATAAGTCTGTTTACCAACTTCTGACTCTCAATATTATAAGTAATGGTCAAGTTGCTCACAACTTTTTCAAAGCTACCTATTTTGTAATATGCATCCTACATAATAGAGTGAAAACTCCACATGCCTAATACCAAAACCATTATCCATTTTTTTCTGTTGCAGAGCGATGCATGCAATCTTATGACCATCTGCCATAAATCAACAGAGGATAGACATTTCATTACACAATATTTATACCCCAAGTTGGTACTCACAGCTGGAGAAAATCAGTGGGCAGGAATGCTCATCCATAGGGAAGTTGTGCAGCTGCAGCTGGCATTCTGCATTTATGGTGAGCCTGCAGGAGAGCCAAGGATTACTCCTAAGGTCAGCCAGGAGAAACCCAGAAAAGTCCCAGGTCAAGGTCAAGGAACAGTCACTTTACCACAATTGGAGAGTGGGAGCATTGCACTTAACTCACTCTTGGCAGTGGTGCCATCCATTCAGGGATACCATTTAGTGGCTTTTGTGTCATTTTGTTCTAACTATTGGTAGCATAGAGAATTTCAATTACTAAAATTCCAAACTATGACTAGAAAAATAAGCCAAGTCAGAGAGGAGACAAAAAAACAAAACAAAACAAAACAAAAACCCTGTTATTTTATATGTCTTCATCTTCAATCCGTTTGATTGAATTAAAACCTTCTTCCATTTTGAAATTGGTGTATTTGTCTAAATAGGTATAATGCCAAACTAATCTACCTGTAGAAGGGACTTCATATTTGGACAACTCCCTCATTTAACTAAGGAGGTGGTGGCTATACAAGTGTGTATACTGAATCCTTCCAGACCAGAAAACCCTGCGACCAGAGTTTCTATGAAGGATGCTAGCACAGGCCATGCCCCCATTCTGAGGCTCATCTTCACTTCAAAGTCTCATCCACACTCTTTTAAGACTGATGTGGAAACACCTGTTACAGACTCCAGCTCTCTAAATGTAATCCATCAGGAGAGTTTCCTGCTGTGGATTTGTTGCTGTTGTTCCCAGCCTGCCAAATTTATTATTTCCCTGAACGTTGAAATTCTCTAATCTTCCACTTCTTTCTATTTTAATCTATTTTATTTTCTTTCTACTTTTATTTGTGCTGTGGATATTTGTTTACCATTCTGAGTTACACATTTCTCTGCATGGCCAAAAGTCACCTGCAATTAACAGCTCAAGTACTGAATGTGGGGAAAAGAGAAAAGAAGTCCCCAGGGGGGGTGGTGGGCTTCACTGAGCCAGGAAGACACATGTGTCAGAAGAATTAGAGAAGTAATCTTCTCCTGAGGCATGCTGAATATGCCATGCATTTGAGACACTCAGTAGGAGACATCTTATGGGCAGGTGGCTCCAAGCATCTGGAGCCCAGAAGGGAAGTTCTGGGTTTGAAGTAGGCATGTGGGAAACCTCAGCATAGTAGTGGGAATGGATGAACTAAACCAGCAGGAGAGAGGGACGTGAGTGAAGTAATGAGGAAGTCCTGAGGCAGAAAGAGCAGAATGAGAAAAGGCAGCACAAAAGCAGGAGCAGGAGATACAGGGAGGAGCCACAGCGCTTCAGAGGCGGTGAGAAAAAGTGTTAGAAGAGAGAGAAAATATCTAGTGCTCCTAGATAGCACTAAGCAATGGGGACAAATTGTCTGGGGGTACTGTCTTGATCCTAATGTCTAGACAACAGAAAGGCTGGCCCAGGTGCAGGGATGTTGGTATGTGTGGTATATTACAGTTGGGTGTGCAGTTAGTCTTGGATCACTCTAATGGAAAGAATTCTAAGAGATACAGACACAGCTTTAAACTCTGGTAACACTAGATCCTAGTGATATCTTTGGACAGGCAAGTCAGTTCACTTATTTGAAGTGCAGTTTCTCTTACCTTCCCCAGTTTTGTAAGGACTGCCTGACCCCCAGGAAGACTCATTACGCTGTAGCTGCCACTTCTATTAGGGATGCACTAGGGAATGTCTTCTGTGCTCTTTTTTCCCCTGTGGTCTTAAATTTGGCTATGATTATATTTGTTAAGAAATACACCAAAACATCTTTATTTTCCTAGCTGAGTGGACCCATGAGTTAAATATATTAAAGAGAATTTCCACAATCCACTTCCAGCAGAAATGGATTCTGATGAAGGAATGAGTTTATATTCATTGCAGGTCTTTTGCATGCCTTTATTTTCGCACATAGTGGCATTAAGACAAACTTTTTCAGGATGCTATTGCGTGTCGAACATGAGAAGTGCTAGAACTCAGCAGTGAGAACAGGGTCCTATCTGATGATCTAAATTATCAGCCCATCGGAGATTAAAAATCCATCAACATTTTACCTTAAAGTATAAAGAATTTTCCCGTCATTCCATATTCTGAGGAGCTGATTCGGGGTGGTGATCCAGTGAGCCTCGGCAGTTTTAGAATTGCGGAAGATTGTATCTGGAATCCATATTAATCCCACCATGTTGCTGTTCAGTGTAAGTATTTTCATTGTACTATTGAATCGAAGGCGACTGTCTGTCCAGGTCTGGGCAAAAAATATGTCAATTTGGTATTCCTGAAACAGAGCAAGAGGAGAGACAAAGTGGTTTCATTAATGAATTTTCTGTATCTGCATTTTCTTTGTCAAAAGTTTAGTTTTCTTCCACGTTTACACCATTATCCCCCACGTCCCTTTCTGTTAATGCTTAGTATAGTGCCTGGCTCAACATGGTAAACATTTTAACAAATGGTAAGCAGGATTATTAGTCAATAATGTGATAACATATGTAAAAAAGATTCTGTAAGTCTTAAATTGTAATAAACATATAAAATGTGATAATTGGCCAATTGGTAGTAGACCATAATTCAGAGCACAGATGCAGATCCCCCTGCATTCACAAGTACAGCTTTACCGGGTAATATGACCTATTAAAGCCTCGTTCTAATTGGTAAAATGGGGAAAATGCCCACCCCCTAAATGGGTTATAAAGAAGAACGGAAATGATTAAATGAAAAACCCTTAGTGTCTTGCATTGATCCATAAGTATTAGCTTATATAATAACTGCCATTTTTACTTAGAAGCCTTACAAGCAACACAACCCAAATAAAAAAAGTAAGAAACAAGCAACAACAAAGAACTATGAAGGAAACAGACACCCAAGCCAAACCCTGATTCAGTAGAAGGCTGGTGGGGATCACATGACCGCCATAACTTGAAACCATTTGGTATTCCCAGCACAGAATAAGGTTTTGCTGCAACCATTAGATGTGGGATAGGACTAATTTCACCATGAGACCCAGAGAAATGTTCTGAGACTGGACTACCTCAGAAGCTCTTTCCCTAAACACAGTTTAAAAGATTGTCATCAATTAAGTCCATAGTAAAGACAATCTAGAAGCAGACTGTTAGAGATTTTTATACCTTTCAGTTTTATTTACATATTAGATATAATAAATTACTCTTACGGAGTATGGCTTCAGTACTTTTCAATGAATCCTACATTAATCTTTTCCATCAAGTTTCCAGCTCAAGAACCTTTCTGAGGTAGATAATTCAATTGACTAGATTCTACTTTTTATTAACTAATCCATTCATTCATCATCTCTTTGCTACACTGTCTGCCATGCCCTGCAAACCACTGAAAACCCAGCACTGTGCTGACAAAAAAACTTCCCCCTTCACGGAGCTCATATTCTAGCCTGGGAATTAAACATACAATTAAGCTGGAAAAAAAAAAAAACCCACAAGTTTGAAGGTTACACATACCAAGCAGAAAAATGAGGTCAGTGTATCAGTTAGGATTCCAGCTAGAAAAGAAAAAAATTATCCAGGTATCCAATGTGGAAAGAATTATGTGCACAGAATCTGTCTGAGTCTTGCTTAATTAAGTATTTGAGCATCTGGGGAAAGAAATGCCGGAAGCAGCAGCTGGGAGGAGGTTACTGTGGGAGGGAGCTTCCAGAGCTGAATGAAATCTCAACATCCAGAGGGTCCTCTTCAAATCCTCAACTCTATGGGTCCACCTAAAACATGCTTAAGGGGAATAATAGCTTCTGCTTCATTATTGCCTTCCAGAACTTTCCATATGTCTTTCATTAACAAACTCTAACCTTGGAAACGCACGGAGAGAGGGAAACTAAGAGGAAGTTTGCATGTGTGTGCATGTATATGTGTTAGTTCCTGTTGTATACTAATTTTAAGATGGATTTTGGGGCACCTGGGTGGCTCACTCAATTAATAATCAGACTATTTGATTTTGGCTCAGGTCATGATCTTAGGGTAATGAGAATGTGCCCCACATCAGGCTCTGCACAAGTGGGGAGTCTGCTTAGAATTCTCTCCCTCCTTCTGCCCCTTCCCCCACTCATGCATGTACTGTCTCTCTCAAAATAAATAAATCTTTAAAAATCTTTAAAAATAAATAAATAAAAATGCAAACAGTGCTGAAACAAGTAAAATAAGTCAGATAAAGAACTATAATCTCACTTATATGTGGAAACTAAAACAAAATAAAACTAAACAAACAAAAAACTGAAGTCATGGATTCAGAGAACAGACTGGTGGATTACAGGGGTAGGGTCTGGGAGCAGAGGTGGGAAAAAGTATGAAGTGAATCAAAAGGTACAAACTTCCGAGAGGAGGGGCAAGATGGCGGAAGAGTAGGGTCCCCAAATCACCTGTCCACACCAAATTACCTAGATAACCTTCAAACCATCCTGAAAATCTACGAATTCGGCCTAAGATTTAAAGAGAGACCAGCTGGAATGCTACAGTGAGAAGAGTTCGCGCTTCTATCAAGGTAGGAAGACGGGGAAAAAGAAATAAAGAAACAAAAGGCCTCCGAGGGGGAGGGGCCCCGCGAGGAGCCGGGCTGAGGCCGGGGCGAGTGTCCCCAGGACAGGAGAGCCCCGTCCCGGAGGAGCAGGAGCTGCACCAACCTTCCCGGGCAGAAAGGGGCTCGCTGGGAGTTAGAGCAGGACCCAGGAGGGCGGGGATGCCCTTGGGCTCCCGGGGACACTAACAGACACCTGCGCCCGGGGGAGTGCGCCGAGCTCCCTAAGGGCTGCAGCGCGCACGGCCGGGCGGGAGCAGCTCGGAGGGGCTCCGGCATAGGAAGAGGCTCCATGCGGAGGGGGCTGCGCTGCTCTGGGAGCAGCTCGGGGGGGCTCGGGCGGCGGCGGCTCCGCGGAGGGGGCTGCGGCCGGAGCGCGAATCCAACAATGCAGGCCCCGGAGCACAAGGCGCCGGGACACAGCCCAGGATCCCCCCGGGACAGGCAGAGGCCGGGAGGGCCCAGGACAGCAAGGACGCTCCTGCCCGGAGCTGAGCAGATCAGCGGCCCCGCCCCGGAGCCTCCAGGCCCTGCGGACGGGACTGAGAGCCCCGGAGTTCCTGCGGAGGCTGACTCCAGGCTTCCAGACCTGCCGCAGCCACTGGGGCTGTTCCTCCGGGGGCCTCACGGGGTAAACAACCCCCACTGAGCCCTGCACCAGGCAGGGGACGGAGCAACTCCCCCAAGCGCTAACACCTGAAAATCAGCACAGCAGGCCCCTCCCCCAGAAGACCAGCTGGACGAACCAGTTCCAGGGGAAGTCAAGGAACTTAAAATCTACAGAATCAGAAGATACTCCCCCGTGTTTTTTTTTTCTTTTTTCTTTTCTTTTGATTTCTGATTGCTTCCCCCCCACCCCACCCCCTTTTTTTCACCTTTCTTTCTTTTTCTTTCTCTTTTTCTTCTCTTTTTTCTTCTTTTTCTTTTTTCTCTTTCTCTTTTCTTTCCTTCTCTCTCTTTCTCTCCTTTTCCCAATACAACTTGTTTTTGGCCACTCTGCACTGAGCAAAATGACTAGAAGGAAAACCTCACCTCAAAAGAAAGAATCAGAACCAGTCCTCTCTCCCACAGAGTTACAAAATCTGGATTACAATTCAATGTCAGAAAGCCAATTCAGAAGCACTATTATACAGCTACTGGTGGCTCTAAAAAAAAGCATAAAGGACTCAAGATACTTCATGACTGCAGAATTTAGATCCAATCAGGCAGAAATTAAAAATCAATTGAATGAGATGCAATCCAAACTACAAGTCCTAACGCCGAGGGTTAACGAAGTGGAAGAACGAGTGAGTGACATAGAAGACAAGTTAATGGCAAAGAGGGAAACTAAGGAAAAAAGAGACAGACAATTAAAAGACCATGAAGACAGATTAAGGGAAATAAATGACAGCCTAAGGAAGAAAAACCTACGTTTAATTGGGGTAGCCAAATTTTGGTCCCGAGGGCGCCAAAAGGACCAGAGGGCCAGAATATGTATTTGAACAAATCCTAGCTGAAAACGTTCCCAATCTGGGAAGGGAAACAGGCATTCAGATCCAGGAAATAGAGAGATCTCCCCAAAAAAATCAATAAAAACCGTTCAAAACCTCGACATTTAATAGTGAAGCTTGCAAATTCCAAAGATAAAGAGAAGATCCTTAAAGCAGCAAGAGACAAGAAGTCCCTGACTTTCATGGGGAGGAATATTAGGGTAACAGCAGACCTCTCCACAGAGACGTGGCAGGCCAGAAATGGCTGGCAGAATATATTCAGGGTCCTAAATGAGAAGAACATGCAACCAAGAATACTTTATCCAGCAAGGCTCTCATTCAAAATGGAAGGAGAGATAAAGAGCTTCCAAGACAGGCAGGAACTGAAAGAATATGTGACCTCCAAACCAGCTCTGCAAGACATTTTAAGGGGGACTCTTAAAATTCCCCTTTAAGAAGAAGTTCAGTGGAACAATCCACAAAAACAAGGACAAAATAGATATCATGATGACACTAAACTCATATCTGTCAATAGTAACTCTGAACGTGAACGGGCTTAATGACCCCATCAAAAGGCGCAGGGTTTCAGACTGGATAAAAAAGCAGGACCCATCTATTTGCTGTCTACAAGAGACTCATTTTAGACAGAAGGACACCTACAACCTGAAAATAAAAGGTTGGAGAACCAGTTACCATTCAAATGGTTCTCAAAAGAAAGCAGGAGTAAGGATCCCTGGGTGGCGCAGTGGTTTGGCGCCTGCCTTTTGGCCCAGGGCGTGATCTGGAGACCCGGGATCAAATCCCATATCGGGCTCCCGGTGCATGGAGCCTGGTTCTCCCCCTGCCTGTGTCTCTGCCTCTCTCTCTGTGTGTGTGTGACTATCTTAAATAAATAAATTAAAAAAAAAAAAGAAAGCAGGGGTAGCCATCCTTATATCGGATAAACTAAAATTTACCCCAAAGACTGTAGTGAGAGATGAAGAGGGACACTATATCATACTTAAAGGATCTACCCAACAAGAGGACTTAACAATCCTCAATATATATGCCCCGAATGTGGGAGCTGCCAAATACTTAAACGAATTAATAACCAAAGTGAAGAAATACTTAGATAATAATACACTTCTATTTGGTGACTTCAATCTAGCTCTTTCTACCCTTGATAGGTCTTCTAAGCACAACATCTCCAAAGAAACGAGAGCTTTAAATGATACACTGGACCAGATGGATTTCACAGATATCTACAGAACTTTACATCCAAACTCAACTGAAT